CATGGCCACTACCAAAGCCTCCTCTGAACTGGAATCCAGTTGCTGAGCCAGCCCCAGCCTCAGCCTTCTTGTAGATGAGTGGCCTGTAAGATTCACAAGAGGGGGAGGCAGACAGAGAGACCTACAGGAGTGCTGTGTGCTCTGGAGCGTTCAGGATTTTAAAAGGAGAACCTATATGGGCCTGGAGTCCAGAGGTAATTCTCTCTTCTCTGAATGAGATCTGCCGGAGGGCGTCTGCTCCCCTCCTCCCATTCATAGCTTTGGCTCCTAAATGGACCCTACGTAACTTATCAGCACTCCCTAATAGAGACCGAGCCCATTTAAATAGCAAGTGAGTACACACGGGGGGACCCATGGCTCCAGCTGCATATGTAGCAGAGGATGGCCTTATCAGGCATCAGCGGGAGGGGAGGCTCTTGGTTCTGTGGAGGCCCGACGCCCCAGCATTGAGAGATGCTAAAGCGGTAAGGAGGGAGTGGGTGGGTGGGTGAGCACCCTCTTAGAGGCAAAGGGAAGGGGGATGGGATGGGGGTTTTACAGAGGGGAGACCAGGAAGGGGGACAACATTTGAAATGTAGATAAAATTTAAAAACCAATAAAAAAAATGGGGACAAAAAGAAGATGAGATGAAAATATATTTCGAGAATATCCAAACATTTTTTTGAATATGACATCAACATTAAAAGGTGTGACGGATTACACTCATTTGCTCACCAGTATGTGTTATGGACAGCACGTCCCTGATGGGACCAGCCACATCTCAGGGCGCAGCTGTGTCTCCTGGTTAGTCACCATCACTTTGGATGGTACGGTTTTTAGGACTTTTCTTTAGCCCTTGTTGTCACAGTCGGTACACGGAAGAGTGAGACTTGACAGGTTGCTCCACAGTGGAGCAGAGGTTCCGGGAGACAGTTCCATCCTTGACCTGGTCTTGTTGATCATTTCGATTGATGACTTTGGAAGTGCCGTGGCCCCGAATACCTGCTGTCTCAATGTGGTTCATCAAGTACAGATGAGAATCATTTTACAGACCTCAAGGAGCACTGTGACGAGGGAATGAGATGCCATCTGCAGATGCACACCACAGAGCACGGCAAGCCTCGCGCACCCAGCCGGTGTTGCTGCCCTGTCACCGTAGATGAGCAATTCATTGATTCAGAGTGCAAGAGTGCAAGAGAGGATAGGTGTGAAAACAGATTAAGTGTCAAACTCCAGCCTGGTGGTGATGGTGGTGGTGGTGGTGTCGTCAGTAGCAGTGCATGCCTTTAATCCCAGCTCTCACAAGGAAGAGGCAGTGCATGCCTTTAATCCCAGCTCTCAC